GACGTGTGCGTTCCTGGGGCAGGCGCCTCCCGTGCACCGGGGGTGGGGCCAGCCCAGGTTGTCAGTGGGCGCACACAAATGCCCCGGCGGGCGCCATGGCACCCGTGGGCACCACGTTGGGGACCACTGATTTAAAGGTATTAATATTATCCATTGGGCCAAATTAATACGTGCAATGGGCCAAAGTCAGATAGTATTTGCAGAGTTGTGTAATTGCTGCTACATGTTAGTTCTAAATATACATTTTAATAAGTTTTTTATATATTTTACTCACTATTTCAGATGACTATTTGGTGTGTAAAATATATTAAAACAGTAGGATACATCGTAGTGATCACCTCTCAGGTGATGTAAGTATTCACGTATGAATTTGGTTAATTTATCTGGAAAATACTGTAAGTAGGGCCCTACCCAATTCATGGCCATGAAAACCATGCAACAGGCCATGAAATCTGGCCTTTTGTGTCATTTTACACTATACTATTCAGATTTCATGGGGGAGACAAGTGTTTCTCAAATGGAGGGGGGTTCTGACACAAAAGGGAGTTGCAGGGATGTTGCAAGGATATTTATGGGGAGCCGCCTTACGTCTGCACTGCCTTCAGAGTTGGGGACCCAGAGAGTGGTGGCTGCTGACCAAAGGTCCAGCTATGAAGGGAGCAGAGTATAAGTAAGGGTGGCAATAGCATATCATGCTTCTAGCCAGCAGCCGTCCTCTCTCTAGCAGCCCATCTCTGAAGGCAATGACAGCAGCAGCACACAAATAAGAGTAGCAGTACCACAACCTCCCCTTGTAACATCTCCCCAAACTCCTTTTGGGTCAGAAATTTCAGATTTAAATAGCAGAAATAATGAAATGTAGAATTTTTTAAATCCTAGGACTGTGAAATTGACCAAGTATAAGTAAATCCTAAGAGTTGACTAATGTATTGCTGGTATTGGCTTGCCATGGCTTGTGTTTTCAGTACTGTATAATTGCCAAGAAGGGGAAAAGTCTGAGGTGATAAGTGTCCACATTCATGATATCTTACCAACCCCTACAGAAAAGTTCTTGTTCTGGGAAGATGTCACGTTAGTAACACATTTCATGCTGATGCCCAATAAAAAAAATACTTCAGCAATAACTACATTTAAATCAATTTACTATATAGATTGATATAAAAATCTACTGTGTATACAAACTGTTAAATCCCATATCAGTGTCAATTATTGCTGTTAGATGTGGAATGAAGTGTACATAAAAGTAGGTCAGTAAAATATAATAGTCTAATGTATTATTACTGATGGATGAGCAGTCAACTAATGTTCCAAGTTGCTTTTCTGGGATTCACATTCATTTTAACATACAGTATAAATGACAGGAATAAGCCAGTTCTATTTTAAAAACATTAATAAAACTGAGCAAAACAGAAAATAATGTCCAGTAAATAGTGTCTTAACACTCTCTGATATTCTGTGAATTAGAAATAAAATAGAGCTTAATTGTACCTGTACTCCCAATGTAAGAATTGGAGAAAATATGGCACTAAAGCATTTGAAGTCTTTCCTTTGCTTGAAAGTTTTGGGATTAACAAGAAAACTAAAGCAAAGAAAGAAAATGTGAAATTAATTCAGGAAAGGAAAGCAGGTGTAGCCAAAGCAAATGAGAAGCAGTAAACTGTTGGTAACATGTACACAAATGTCTTAATCCTTTAAATTGTCAGAGATATGACAGCATTTGTACTGCCCACGTTATTTAATCCTTTAATGAGATTGTGGAGGAAATTCTGCTTTTGGTTACATTTATATAAATCCAAGTGACTCACTGAGTCAAAAAATGTAGTAATATTTCAAATATCTGGTATATTGTGAAGAAAGACAAAATCAGTAAAGATTTATCTATTAACCTCCTGTTCATACATGACAAAGTCCTCTTTATATTGAATCTCTGTGCAAAATCTGCTGGAAAAAGATTGCCCTACAGGGCCGGTTTTCCCAGTTACTAAACAGTATTCTGTGTCTAATCATCATTAAATCCTACACTTCTACTGGACGTAGTATTTAATGCCTTTCAAAAAAAATTCTGTGATTCCTACCCATATTAATTTTGTCATGCTCATGAATCTACCAAGTAACAGAAAACAGCATGTCACCCTTCAACAGAGTGGGTCATTACATTAGAAAGGTTGACAGGATTGTAAATCAGTTCCCAAAGAGCAGCTACTAGTGACTGAGGAAGTTGTAGCCTCTTAAACGTTCAAGCCAGTTCAGATTTTCAGGCAGCAGATAATTATTACCTCAGTGATTAAAAATTAAATGGTCAATACATGAATCAGAGAACCAACTTAGTTTTGCCAGAGCAGGTGCCCAAAAGTTAATGGCATAATTCTCAACCCTCCAACTTCCAAGTGAAGCGTGTACTATTTGACCTTTTAATGCGTTGTAAACAAAACTTGGAATCCATAACTACAGGTTGGACTTCCCTGACCTTGGGGAGCTGACCAATCCCAAAGGAGAGATTTAGCAGAACAATTACTCCCCTCAGCTAACAGACTCTGGGCTCTCCTCACGGCTGCTGAGCTCCCTTACCCCTCAAGTAGCCGGGCTCCCAGCTCTGCAGACAGCCCCAAGGCTGCTGGGGCCTCTGCTGCCCTGGGAATGACAGGGCTCCCAGCTCTGCTCTCTGTTCCAGGGCTCTAGAGAGCATAATGAAAAATAAGAGATGCAAGCATTATTTATTTAAATAGTACCGTCACTGTAGAGGGACATATGCTTTAATTCTTATGCGTATAATACATACAACTTTTATAAGCCTCTTGTTTGTGCTGTCATCACCAGAGCAGCTCTAGGGATGTTTCTCCTTTCTAATATTTGGCAAGAAGAACAGATGGTAAATAGATGGGACAAACATGGAAAATGGAAGTTACCGCTGTGCAGCTGATAGATTGTTGAGAGGGTTTTTATTTTTATTGGGGGAAAGATAGAGGGCCATTAAGAAAACAAACTAAGGTATGGGTGAATAAACAACAAACCTATAATTAATATATATATTAAAAATAGTAATTATATAGATGTGACATGGTAGAATATAATCACAGGTGGCAATATTGCTGACCTCCCCCATGGCATTTTAGTTGTTAAATTACTGAGGAAAATGTGGCCCTTCTTTTAATGTAAACTAGATGTAGAGATTCTTGTTTTCCTTTCCTTAACTACCCACACATACCTCACTGGTTTAGCCAGACTGGCCTTGAAACTTACCTTCCAGTAAGGTTTTTAGGAACATAGTCATATATGATCAGTGGTTAATTGATCCATGAATATGTGTTCTGTGTTAAACCTTGTTACACATTGATGAATACCAAATCTTATTGATTTTCTTGTAAATATATTTGGTATTGTTGTTTAAAGGGGGGGAAAATAATAGAACAGTTCTATTCCTGTGGTTAAAATTAGATCCTACTATGATTGTAGAAGGAAGAGATTATGTAACTTTTCCTTCAGGAAGTGGTTTAGTTGCAGGATATAGTTCAGAATTATAACACCATTTACAGCATACATAATTTGGGAATTCAAACTTGTTTAGTAAGCAAACAACTCATAATATTTCAGTGAAATTTAGCATTTACATTCTCCTAGGTAACAGCTACAAGTAAACCTTTTTTTAAAGAAACTATGTCTTACGCAGATTTTCACACAGTTAAAAAAAGTTATCTCACTATAGATTTATCAGAAAAACGTACCTTTGAATGATATATATGTATATAATGTTAATATTTATGTTAATGTTTAAATGCAAGTGTTTCATTGATTATTTTATGTAGGAAAATAATATAAACATTCTTGGTATCAGAGGAATGAAACTG